ATTAAGTGTATGTGAAAGATTCCAAATCACTTATTGAACATATTTGCACTGTTAGGGGACTAGTAATAGATAAAGTTATTATTCGTGTTGGAATAGATGGTGGTCAAGGATCCTTAAAATTTGTAATGAATGTTTTTAATATAGAAACAGATATTGACTGTCGAGAAAACAAAAATACTGGTGTTAATAAAGTTCTGGTATTGGCATTTGTCAAAAATGTTACTGAAAATCATGCGAATCTCAGATAACTATCGAGAAAATAATGCTCAACAGACTTAAGTTCTACATAGTTCTATCTTAAACTGCTAAATATAATATTAGGCTTATCAGGACATGGAGGTAAATACTCTTGTTTATATTGCAATGGTGACAATTCAAATTTGGGAGAATTGAGAACTTTCAAAAAGTTAAAGTTGCTGTATGGAAGTTTTGCTGAAAATGGATCTAAGAAAAGTTCTATGCAGATCTACAAAAATGTAATACATGCATGTCTGCTTGATGTAGCTGAAGATACACATGTACATGATGTAGTTCCTCCACCAGAACTTCATTTGCTGATGAAGATTGTTACAGAGATTTCTAATGTTTTATGTAAAGAACCAGAAATTGCTGTATGGCTAAATAACCATGGGATAATTTGGCATAGATATAATGGAGGTGGGTTAGATGGTAGAAATGCTAACAAAATTCGGAAGCTATTGCCTGATTTGGAACAACATATCTTTGACCATTATCCTTTTTATCATCCAGTTGTTGAACTGTAAAAATCGTTTTCTATAGGTAATTTATACATATACACACACCTCATACACACATATATATATTTATTGTGTATGAACTATTTTTTCAATTTAAAACATGATTTTAAAAAATATGATTAAACTTCAACATTAACCATGAAATTTTAGTTGTCGATAAGTGCTTTGGTATGAAACATCATGAGGGTTATGCAGGTACCATTGCAATGTATGTTAAGAAGTTAAAGGTAAATTAAAATTTGAAAATAATTTTAGGAAAGTAATTATTGAATATGATGTAGAAATAAACATGAAAACAATTCTTATTTATAAATATTATGTTATAGGCATATTAGCTATTTATTTTTTACTTTTGATTTAGGAAACTGAAATTTATGTTAAAGTTAACTTTAACCACAATCTCTCAATGGGGTGGAAAGGTCATATTATTGAACACCACCTTGTTATTTTCTTAAACAATATTAGAATGCCTCTAAGTGTATTTGCTGAGCAATTTTCCGAATCTGTTCATCACAACATGCTTAAAACTTTGAGTAGATTCGCAACATCTGAATCCAGATCAAACCATGGAGAACTACTGAGAAGAGCGGTGTTAGAATATTCAAGCAATAGAGTGTAGATGATTTGATATAAATCAATCATTGGATTTTCTTATTATAATACGATTACTTATCTTTTATGTAATATTATATATGTCTTGTAAATTATACTTTTTGTATTATATTTTGTATATTTGTTATTTTAATACTCCATAAATTCATTTCTAAATTATGTTGCTTTTTCTGTAAGTTTATCCATAAGCTTAATTTTTTTTATGAGCTTGATTGTTAATTTTTCATGGACTTTTTTATTTTAATATATTCTAGTTATATTTTATTATGTGTTGGACATTATAATTGTATTATATTATACATATTTGTTATTTTAATACTCTATAAATCTATTTAAAAATCATTTAGATTTGCATTTGAACAAGTAAAAACAAAAATATTTTTTGAAGAAATATAATAATTTTAAAATTTTCCCCAATAATATTTAAAAAAAATTTGAGGAGAGGGAAAATTTGCCCCAATTCCCTAAAAAGTTGATTTTTTCATCAGGATGTACGCCAAACATATCGTTCTCTCCATAGATCAGTCTGTTTACCATTCCTTAATATCATGAAACTAAAATTTTTGAAGTAATCAAATTTTCAACCTAAACCTATTACATTTGACTAGTGATATATATATATATATTATATATATATATATATATATATATATATATATATATATATATATATATATATATATATATATATATATATATATATATATATATATATATATATATATATATATATATATATATATATATATATATATATATATATATTTATATATATATATATATATATATAAATATATATATATATATATATATATATATATATATATATATATATATATATATATATATATATATATATATATATTAATGCGTTTTTATTGCTTGAAAAATAACAACTTTAACGATCTATAGTCAATTTATACAATAAAATAATACCTTACAACCTGATTCTCTTTGAAGCAGCGTTTAATATTATTTAAAATAAAAATGGTAAATTCTATAAATAAAATAAATTTTGTTTATTGTAATACAAGCCTTCTAATAAATCTAATTGCTTTTTTTCATAATCATCAATATCATCATCGCAAACACCGTCGTCAACAGAAGAATCAGTGTTGTTCCATTTCGTTCTGTTATCTAAACATTTTCTTGAGGATTTTGTAATTTAAAAGCGTTTAGTTTCATAACCAGTTATAAAATTACACTCGTATAAGTTCACTACACTTTCTAGCACCACTAAGGGTTAGCGCTAAATTCATAAACGATTCAATGGCAGTTTCTACTTTACTAATCAAATTCTATTACACTAAATCAATCTAAATTAATCTTACGCTTTGTTGCATTTTGTTAGTTATTTGTTTTCAAATTTATCCAATATCTTTTTTTCTGCCAGACTTTATTGTGGCAGAGACCATTTTTATGGCATTTTAGAAAAGTTTTTTATTCTTTGGGTTAAAATATTTATTATTATTAGATAACAACCAAGAAGTTGTGTCACTATATTTATGTCCATGCATGTTTCAATCTCCTATTTTTTTTGTTCGTTTTCTCCATATATCATGGAAAAACATAATATTAAATGCATATTTTATATTTGATGAAACTTTTTTAATATTTTAAAAATGTTAAACTTAAATAAAACAAGGCTTCATAACAAAAAAAAAAATTGTAGCTATTTTATGCTTTATTAAAGTGTTACTAAAACAAAAAACATCATTTTTGGCCTTTCTTTTAGAAATAACATAAACCAGCAGATATTATTCCAGACTCCATATAATTTCCAACCTTTTTAATTTCAAATGGTATAATATTAAACTTATGATTCGTGAAATTTAGTATAAATAAAACTGCTTTTGGAGCAAGAAGCCATATCCTAAACAAAACAAACAACAAGACATCATATATTATGCAAATAAAGAGAAAAAATAAAAGAATTATTTTTTTATAAAAAAAGATATTAAATATGATTCAACAAAAATATAGTAACTTTAAATTAAAAAATCAATCTGCTTGACTCACCTAATTACAGTTAAGTTGATCTAGAAACATAGTTTAAACTTAACTATCAACCAAACAAGTTGTTGCATAATTCTCGCCAGACTCTGATATTTTTTGGTTTTCTCCATAATTCATTTTATCAATTATTTTTTAGTTAAGTCTTTTTTTTCTGATACTCTTTCCTTGCTGCATTTAACTGTTTTTTTTTTTTTTTTTTTTTGTTTTCTAACACATTTTGAAAGGTTTTTTTATATGGTGAGTTCGTCAAAATTTCTGGATATTCTCCCTTTCTTATTGGTGTCAACACTTTGATAGTTGGAATGGTAATATATCAGTGAAAAAAAAGCTGTTAATAGTTTGAAATTGAGAACGAAACATTTATTTTATCAACTGAAAAACCAGTAAAGGATGTTTAAACATTAGAGTTTTTGATTGGCCTATTTAATGAAATTGTTGTTGATAGTTGTTCAGGATTTATATCTGCTATTTCATTAAATACTGTTTACGTATTACTATTTTTAAAAAATAGGTTTTTTAAAAATAGTAATACGATAATATAACCAAGCAAAGCAATTAACAACTTAGATAGCTAGTTTCATATTAATTTCATCTCATTTTCCACAACTTGTCTTTCGTTTGTAATTTCAAGCTATCATAAAACCCGTAAAACGTTTACAAAAAGTTTATTGATTTTTCCGATTTTCATTTGGAGTATCATTCGGAGTATCATTTTGGATTTATCAGAGTATCTTAAAATCAAAACAAGTATAATGGACTATCTCATCTTTCCCACAACGACCGCGTGTTAAAAACATAAAATTCTAACCGTGCAAATCAAATTAGTTTTTCTTTTTACTTTTGGAATGAATAAAGAAGTAATTTTTTCTTAAAATAATCAGGACAACATTGGTACTTTTTATCAATAAAATTACTTGCATCGATCATTTCTTCACTAAGATAAGCGTTGAAAAAACTAATTACTTTATTAAGTCGCAAAAAAAATTGCTATTTTGTCATAAAAAAGTTAAACATTTCAAAAAGCAGGTGTGTTAAGCTTAGCAAGTAAAAACACAAACTAAATGCTTTGTATTAATGAATGATTATGATGATGATTATCTCCAGAAAGAATTAAAGATGTTGCCATATTTTTTTATCTCATTATTGCAACACGCCAATAATTTTGAATAACACATTTACAAAGCTTAAATGACAATATTTCATGTACAAATGATAAAAACAGCTAAACTATTTTAACATGTAAACAAACTTGCTCATAAACACTATTAAAAGTTAAATAAAATACTTTTTCCTCTTATTTATCAGCTTTAAATTTTTTACCAAATCCCATAGTCTCTCTATTTTACAACTTTCCAGCTTTTTACCCTCATTATTTGCTATTCGATAAAGAAACGTGTTTTATTCTTAAAGTGTTTCTCGAATAAATATATAAGCTGGCCTTATATGAGTTTACTTAGTCTAAAAACTTCATCTAAAAACAATCTTTATATAAAATCAGAAAATATCAAGTTTACTTTGTTAATCTTATAAACCAACATTTTTTTTATACATATATAAAAGTTGTTTTAAATTAAAATCTTGAACTTTAATTATCAGAAAAAATATTTCGCATACCTTGGAACATTTTGATTTATACAAAGATATATTTGATAACTTTTATCGTCCCAATATATACCACGCTCATAAATCTCTAATATGTCAATATATATATATATATATATATATATATATATATATATATATATATATATATATATATATATATATATATATATGCATACATATATATATATATATATATATATATATATATATATATATATAATATATATATATATATATATATATTCTACTTATATATATATATATATATATATATATATATATATATATATATATATATATATATATATATATATATATATATATATATATATATATATATGTATATATATATATATATATATATATATATATATATATATATATATATATATATATATATATATATATATATATATATATATATATATATATATATATATATATATATATATATATAATAAATCGCATATGTATATATATAATAAATCACAAATTGAAAGCTTACAAGTTTTTTATAATTTTACAAACTTAGTTTAGGTATCGCTAATATAATTAAAAATTTATCGTTGGAGTGACACCTAAACAAACTAAAAAAAAATCAACAGCTATAATAATAAATAAAAGCATGCGTAAATTAATTGAATTTCAAAATAATTATTATGACAATAAAGCTATAATAAATTAAATATTAAACCAAAAAATATGAAAACATTCGATTAATAACAACAGCAAACAAAAACAAAAATAACTAGCAAAACAGCACCAAAGAAAAATTTGCGCAAACGAAAAGGCAAACACAAAATAAAAGCAAAAACTAAAAAAAAAAAGCCAATTTCTACAAAATAAAGTAAAATAATTATGATAGTTTGTTATAAATTGTGTAGAAAAATTGGTAACATTTTATTTTTACGTTTAAACTAGTTCTTTAATTATCATTTCGAACATTTTTCTGCCTGATTTTTTTTTAATTTGGTGCTTTGCTTTTATTTGATTTTTTTTTTTTTTTTTTTTTTTTTTTGTCTATTGTTGATTTATTAAACCTATTTGTTTGTTTATTCTTTGTTTCATTTTCTTGTTTTTTTTTTTGCTTCAATTAAAAGAATAAAGACAAAATAAAAACAAAAAAATATCTTTGTTTTACTTAATTTTCATATATATATATATATATATATATATATATATATGAATATATATATATATATATATATATATATATATATATATATATATATATATATATATATATATATATATATATATATATATATATATATATATATATATATATATATATATATATATATATTATATATATATATATATATATATATATATACAGAAATCACATTTTTCATTCTGAGAAAAATGAAACTTAGTGTTTAGTGACATTAGATATCTGTTTATTAATAATTTATTAAATTAAAAATAAATTTTTCTGAGATTTCAGTCTTTATAAAATATATAAAGGCAGTTTTTGTGCTAAATACAAGTATTATTTAATTACAATGTTCTTTTGAATACAAGACATTAAATTTGGACATGTGTGGTTTTTCCGTTGTAAACTCATCAACTCATAAATTACGTTAGCTTGTAACCTTTTAGAGCATTTATTTTTTTAAAGGTAGATGGCAACATATGGCAAACTACAACGTACTAAGTGTGTGATGGGATAATAAAGCTACCGCCCCCCTTCCTTCTTTCTTAAATTAACAAAAAAAATTTGAACAAAAAATTATATGAAAGTTTTTTTTAACTTTATACAAAATAGCATTTCAACCTTATCTCTTCCTCAATTTCATCTATTTACCACAGATAATTCCATGATATCTGTGTTTCATCATTTTATACTTTAAATTGTATGGTTTGTATAAACCATACAAAATCCAATTGTGTAAACCATACAAAATCAAATTTAATTTTGTATGGTTTGTATAAACCATACAAAATCCAATTGTGAACACAACGTTAGTAAAAATGTTTTGTTTTCAATTTCAAAGAAAATTAAAATAAATTAAAAAAAAAAGATAAAATCAAATCAAATAATGTCTTACTTTTTCCATTCATAAAATGTTTTGTTTTAGTAAGTCTTTAAGTTTTTAACAAAAAAAGGCAACAGAGTTATGTATGCTTGTAACAGTTTATCAGGCACTTCAATTATATATCAAAACATATGCGATGTAAAACACATAAAATTAAATACTTCCATTTTTCTATATAATTAAACTTTAAATTGTAATATTTCATAACCTTTAATATTTCAATCTCTCTAAGTGAACATGTCTTAAATGAACAAACAACCAAAAAGTATGGTTTTGAAACTCTGCACATTTCATAAATTCTTAGATCATGTTTATATACAATATTGAATTGTTATGGTTTTTTGTGAGATTGTTTTGTGTTTCTGAAAGAAACTTTTGATTTGCAATGACCAATGTTTCTGTCTCATTTTTTAGAGGTGTAATGCCTATACCTAAAGTGACAGAGTATTGTTTGCTATTGAAACAGTAATGTTGTCAAGTTGTTTAGTTTTATAAACTAGATAATAAAATCAAATTAAAACTTTTCATTTTATATTTTGCCTAGCACATAAATTGCAAATCAAATTGATATCCTTTACACTTGAGACAATTGATAAATTAAATTCATGCAGCATAGAACATACAGCATCAGACCATCTGTTTCCAAAAGTATTATCATTGCATTATTTTTTTTTTTTTTTCATTTATTTTTATTTTTTTATTTATTTACACTTTTGCCGATAAAAAAAAATTTACAGTCGTAGCTTATAAAAAAAAAAAAAATTACATGACCGGGGCTAGAAGAAGACAAATTTAGTCTTATCATTAAGCCCCAAAAAATGCGTCATTACTAGACAAAATATAGTTTGACAATAAAATATAGTTTCAATGTATATATCTCTGATTTATATTATAAAAGAAAATTTAAATATATCGCATATCGTTTAAAATTTATATTTTTTCAAAGAATAAGATTTAACAATTGTTTTGTAAAATAAAAGAAACAAAATTTAATAAAATATTAAAGTGACAAAAATAACATTTAAGACTTGGTTTGAAAAAATAAGAAGATATGATTTTATATAAAAACATTTTATTGGTAGAGCATTTTATAGTTTAACTTATTTAATTTTATTTATAATACTTTTCATTGCCAATTAAGTAAAAGCAAATAAACAGTATAAGATAAAAGATTAATAAATAACGCAAAAATAAAAAATAAATTTCTCAAAAAGAAGATTATCATTTAAAATAATAAAAACATATGTACAATTGTTGATTAATTATGTATTAATAATCTAAAGTAATTCATTAATTAACTATTAATTATTGATTTCTAATATAAAGAAGTTTTATTAGAAAAAATTTAATTCATTTTCAGTTAACAAAAGTATTTGCTTAAGTTTTGTTTTGAATTGGTTAAGAGAATAATTAGTTTTCATTTCATTATTTAATATTATATTCCACAACTTTGGTCCTCGGTTTACACTAGAGAATTTAGTAGCGGAATAATAAGTTTTGGATTGAATGTAGTTGTATTTTGAAAATCTTGTAGGGTATATGTAATTTATTTTTTCAAAAAATGAATAAAATAAGATTGGTAATATATTTTTATCAAGTTTGAACATGAAAATAAGAACTTGATAGAGGTTTAGTTTATATACATTTAGGATATTGAGTTCATTAAAAAGTGTTTGTGTGTGTGAAAAACGATCTACGTTTGAAATTATCCTTATAGCCTGTTTTTGTTTGCTGAGCAATTTTTTTATTTTTGTCGCGTTAGTTCTACACCAAGCAATGTTCGCATAACTTAAGTAGCAATGAATAAAAGAAAAGTAAATGTTTTTTAAACAAGATCGATGTAATAACTGCTTTGCTTTGTACATTATTCCTAAATTTTTTGATATTTTATCTTCAACTACACCTATGTGTTCCCTCCAGGTTACATTTTCGTTTAGAAACACGCCTAAAAACTTTATTGATTGCTCTCTCTTTATTAATTGATTGTCAATAAAAAGGTCTGGGAGTTCTAAGGAAATATCTGATTTTTTATGTAGGCGATGGAATAAAGTGTATTTTGTTTTAGTAATATTTAAAGATAACTTGTTTGATTTAAACCATTGGGTTAGTTTGTCTAGTTCTTTGTTTAATGTTTGGAATAATATATTGATATCTTTATTGGAATAAAACAAGCTGGTATCATCTGCAAATAAAATTATATTTAAAATGTTAGAAAATTTATTTAAATCGTTTATATAAACAAGAAATAGAAGTGGCCCTAAAATTGATCCTTGAGGAACACAACATTTAATTGTCTCATAATTAGTTTTTCCTTCATCATAAACTGTTTACTGCTTCCTATTGGTCAAATAACTCTCAAACCAGGACAAGTTAGTATTTTTTATACCATAACTTTTGAGTTTCGATAGAAGGATTTGATGATTGACTGTATCGAAAGCTTTACTTAAATCGATAAAAAGACCTAGGGTATACTTGCCTTTATCAAACGATTTAAATATGTCCTGAACAAGGTGAATGATTGCATGTTCGGTGGAATGGCCAGATTTGAATCCAAATTGTTTATGGTAAAGAATAATATTTACATTTAAAAAAGAATAAAGCCTATTATACATAACTCGCTCTAATATTTTAGAAAAACAATTAAGAATTGAGATTGGACGATAATTTGCAACTTCAGAAGGATCGCCTGACTTAAAAATTGGAATGATTTTTGCAATTTTTAGGTTTTCTGGAAAAACACCATGTTTTAAAGATAAATTAAAAATATGTATTAAAGGAATTGTTATGTATTTTATCTATTTAATAAAGACATTACTACTTATAGAATCGAAACCTACACTTTTTTTGGGCTTTAACAAAGAGACTGCGTCTAATAATTCATTTTCCGTAAGTTTAAGATTAGACATAACACTAATGTTGTTTGAGGTTACGTAGGACCTAAAGTCTATTTGAGAAGTTGCTATATTTGATTATAAAATAGGACCTATATTTACAAAAAACTGATTAAGTGTTTCGGCCACTAAGGACTTATTTAAAATACAATTGT